ACACACACACACACACACACACACACACACACACACACACACACACACACACACACAAACACACGCACACACACTTTTAAGATGCAATTACCAAAACTTAAAGTTTATATGGGTCTCTTTAAGCCCTACATTTGTGTGCCTCAAACAAAGAGAGCCGGTAGCATTATTATTTCAAAATATAATATACGCCATGTGCGAGTTCGAGTAAATTGAGGTAAAGTAAATTATAATTTTCTAGCGATTTATTTCACTGATCTTATGTAAATACTTATTTATTTATTTATTACACTTATTTATTTATAAAACATCTTATAAAATGTTCACAATGGTAACACCTAATTTACCTAATTTTTATCTAATTTACCCTACTCGAAATTTTAATAAACGTCAACATTTGCTGCCATACCGACATAATGTACTATCTCCTTTACCAATTTACCATTTATTTACTTGAATTTGCACACGGCGAAGAGTAATAAGAGTAATTACTGAAGAGTAATAACATAGACCGTCGCATCATGGACAGTACGGCAGAAATAAAATCTTTTTTTTATTGTATCTTTTCTTACGAATAAAAAGTTTTAAAATCTTATAACTAATCACATATTATTACAATTTTTATTTTAACTATACAATGTATAATATAAAATAAAATAAGTAAACCTTTTATCACGGACCTCACTAAAATGAGTGGGTTAAATTTCATTGGAGTGACTGCTATGTGGTTTCTTAAGCAATCAATTTAGGTTTATCAGATCACTAAAAAGAAGAGTGGGGTTTTCACTTAAAGCAATTGAATTTTAATTAATGATTGGACGGTCAGCTCCTTTTAGACGGGAAATAGTGGAAATAGAGGTTAACTTATGCTGTCAGTCTTTTATTGTATTTCTTTCTTATATTGTCAAGTTCAGCTAAGGAAATTTGTAGATATAAAACTTAACGAATCAAAATTCGGTTGATCAAATTTTCTGAATCAGTAAAGAAGATAAAATGAAATTTTCCTTAAACATGAATATGCCAAAAGCTAACTAAACTAACTAAAGAATAGTTTCTTTCGTGTTTGAACTGGTATAAGTTTTTCAAACAATATGATTATTGCTACAGATTGTCCCTAAAGGTCTTGTGTATAAAATTGACAATGCTGATTTTCTACACATTAAAAGATATACTACTTCCATTTTTGCAAATCATAAAGCAGTTATTTCAAGTAATTTGCTAGTACTGATTCTATAATTTCTATAAATTTTATAAGCTCTATAATTTTTAATAATAGTATGATGAAATAAAGACAAAATATAAAACATTTGGGTACTTTTTTGGACTCTTTATCTACGTTTAGCTCTCAATCAAGGTTTTGTATCATTTTCTAAATTATTATCAAAATTTCGTATTTTCAACAAAATGTTAATAATAAAAAAATGTTATATATTTTGTTGCTTAAAATAAATAAATATGTCTAGAATATTAATACAATTTTGATTAAGTTTCTTTGAAAACATATATCTGTTAGGAAAAATTACTTAAATTGTGTAAATTATAATTCTCACCTTATTTGATCACATCCCTTTGTAAATACAAAGTTTAAACCACGTTAGAGCGTATGAGTTTAATATAGCATTATATTGCATTGGATTGTTAGATATTTATCTCTTACCACATAGTTGATAGATTAAAAAACTAGATGCCTGGAAGAGTATAAATAATTCGTTTTTTTTTTTTTTTTGTTGTGTTAATTGTCTAAATTATTAAAAACAAATACTCACCTTTAGTAAAGAAGAAGAATTTTGATTGGGACGACTCACCTTTTTGCAGTTGTCAAAGCCAATATTTACAATTATTCCTCAGATATTGTCAGTTATAATATTTTTGTTTTAAATTATGGAAGTTTATTTCAGAGGGCACGAATTCTTCTCATACATTAAGACTGAAAAGTTTTCGGAAATTCTCATTTAAAATTCGCGCGCTGTATATTTTTCGATATTTTAAGTTTATGTAGTTTGGCAGCACTGTCCTTAATTACTATGCCAAAAATGAGCTCGATCTGTCAGACAGTTCGTTTACGGCAGCTGT